GAAAACAAAAAAAAAGAAAAGAAGAAAGAAACAACATTGCCAATGTTATTTGCTTCAAACATGAACGACTGCTGAAAGAGAAGTGCGCATTTTATTATATGCGGAAAAATCTGGATACTGCTATTGTATAGTATTACCTTTTCTGTTAGAAATTTGACTGTTAAATTACAGGGAGGAAGAGAAAAATAATATATTTAGTAGGATGTTTAGTAAATTTTAGCATTTTTTTAAGATAGTACAGTATAATATAATTTGATATTTTAAATTTTAAATATTATTAAAAACTCAAACCAGCGGTCGGTAAGTTTGTATTGTGAGTTTAGGCTCATCACGACAAAAGAGGCAGAGAAAAAGTGCTCTGATACCATAATGATTTTGCACTAAATGGAATGAATAAAAATGCAAGAAGCAATGAATTGAAAAAGGATTTCTATTCACTTTTTCTTGTCTAAGCAAGTTGTTCAAACAAGGGTATATATATACATAAAAACTAACGGAAACAAATTTTCTAATAAGGAATTCTCTTAAATTACCAACGGTAACAAATCATCTAAAGAATCACTATAGCCACCTTGCCATATTTTAGCTCCAACGTTCAAATGCAATTAATGGTAATATGGCAAGATTAACTTCCTCCTTTTGCTCATCATTTTTGCCGTGAATCATGATTTTTTCATTGACTTTATCAGTATTTATCCATAAATACCATATTTACCATATTTATTTGAAAATTAGGCGACCAACTCTGGTGATTGGTAAATATCATATTTACAGGTAAATATCATGAAGATCTTCCGACAATCTGGCTGATGCAACATCAATTTCAGTTTGGTGACGATCTCCGATCGTGACACTTCCCAAATCATCCGACAATCTGCAAGAAAAACTGAGAGAGGAGATCCTGGATTTTCCTTTGAACGCAAGTCATTGATCTCAGATCCTCCATTGATAAGCTTTTTACGATTCGCAATGCGACGATGACGTTCCTGATCTCAGTCGTCATTACTCTAGGTCTCAGTCGGCTAAGGAGAAACAAAGAGAGAGAGAGAGAGAGGGGGAGAGAAAGGAACCGACGAAGGTGAGAGAGAGAGAGGAACTGACAGATGAGAGAGAGAATCGAAGAGCGAGAGAGGGAGAAGAACAGACGGAGGAGAGAGAGGGAGAACAATCGGAGAGAAGGATCACGCCTCACAACAGGTTGAATCAGCACCGGAGAAGGATGCCTCGTGATGGTTGAATCGACGCTGGTGAAGAGCTCTGGCTATGGCGACCTTCGACAGTGACAGCGGTGTGGATAGCTTTGGGAGGAGGAGAAACGACAACGTGGCTGAAAGAGTGAGAGGGGGAGGGAGAGAGATAAGATTAGGGTTACCATTTAGTATTATATTTGAAAGGGGTAAAATTGAAAATAAAATTATCTAGATTATAAACAAAAAATATATATATGCTATAATTTATTATAATTTTAAAAATATGCTATTCACTTTAAAGTTAAGTATGAAATATGCTATATTGTGTATTTTTCCTAAATTATAACATTGTCAAATGTTGACATTTGATTTAAACTCGAGATTTTGTGTTGAAAAAATGCAAAATAATTGGGTAAAATACATATGGTAATCTAGTAAATTACTTTTGGGATTGGTTGGGGCTCTGTAAATTTGACGATTTTGACGCCATAAGATAAATGATATGGAAGTCTCATGTTGGTTGGTTGGTTGTGTTGTTAACTTGACTGAAGAAGTTGTTGGGGGTGTGGAGGCTCCAACAAGACCGACGAGATTTTTTTCGTTATTAAAAATAGGGAGTTTCTACCATAAGATTAGAAAAATAAAATTATCAGTAGTTTTATCTTTTTTAGCCATTTTAACCTTCAGATTTGTATCAAAAATTGTCTATTCATTTAATTTTAACTAAATTTAACAGTCAAAAAACTGATACTACCGATAAAATGACATTCCGGAGAAAATTCTTAAAAATAATGCAACCAATTTTATAATATTACCACTTTAACTCTTCTCATTCATTTTTCCCAATATATATATATATATATATAATCCTAATTCGTATATTTTAAAATGTTCATATACATTTTTATTATTTAAACATTATAATTTTATATCAATATCAATACAATATCGTTGGGCATTTTTCTAAGGTCATAATTTGTGAAACTTTTCGTAGAAGTTTAATTAATTTACATTTTTTAGTTTTTTTTTTGTTGTCTTTTGTTTGTTTTATCTTTTGTCCTTATATTAAAGAGTAGATATTTATTGTTGTTCAACTTATGGTAGTTCAAAATAGTAAAGTTTAGGTGCTTTATTTTTTTCCTTTCATTTTTATGTTTTAATTCTTTTATTTTTTTATTTTGTTATTTCATAATTTTTGTTCATCGTACGATGGTACAAGACATTAAATTTTTAAGTGTTTTACTTGTTTTTCCTTTTATTTTTAAGTTTCAACTCCTTTGTTTATTTATTTTTTACTTTGTTATCTAATAATTTAGAATGTTTCATGTATTTCTATAATTAAACATAAACTTTTTTTGAAGGATAAACTTTTCACTTAAACTACTATTAATGCATACTTCTTTACAAAAAATAAAAGATAATGTGCAGGGGATTCAAACTCCACATTTTGCGATAGAGTTAAGTGTGTAATTTTCGTTAGAATAAGCATACCACCACGGTATACTCTTTTTTTTGTTATCTCTAAGTAAAAATTTACGTCTATTTTTTTACTACTTATCGTTGTTTGTATTTTACGTTATAAAAACTTTAATCACCACTAAATACGTGCATTGCAAGCACCAAAACCAATAGTTTTTGTTTTTGTTTTTTAACTCATAAATCTCTATGTTTAGGATCAATTAGAAAACTTCTATCTGAAACGTTAGAATTTTCCATTTTCGCAGGGGATGGATTTGAAATTGTTTAGGAATCTGAGTTTGGTTATTTTGTTCTTGGATTTTCTAATCTTTAAGAATTTATATTGCTTTTCCTTTTAATTATGTTTTGAAACATAAGGTATAATTGTCATTTTATGAATCAAAAAACATGCTGGATGAAATTAAATGATATATATTTTTTTTTTACTTATAAGGTAACGCAATAGGATTTTTTAAATATGAGCCTATCAAACTGAAAATGTGTCAAATTACAGATACCAAAATGATATTTTTCTTAAGAAGATTCAAATAAATAAATATTTAAGGACAATTATCATCATCGTTCCTGAACTATGAATATTTTGACACTTTAGTCCTTAAATTTTCTTTCTTGAAAAATTACTCTCTAACCTTTAATGTTTTCTCTTGTTTTTTTTTTTTTTTTTAAATTTTGGTTACATACACTAAAATTGACGAATATATTATTAAATTTCACAGCAATTAATCCAAAATGTTATAGTTTTTATTTTAACAATAATGAAGAGGTGCACTCGTGCATATTTGAGTATGTACTGAAAGATTGTTCTTCTCATCAATAATATTGAAACCGGCTATTGATTGTAAAAAAAAATATAGTTTTGAGGATATTTTACATATTTTTTGAGTAGGAGGATATTTTGTATTTAATATAACTATTTTTTGTAACCAATCAGTAACTATATGATTTAGATATGATTATCTTTCAGACATTATTCGATAAAAAAAAAATATAGTTTTGAGGATATTTTACATATTTTTTGAGTAGGAGGATATTTTGTATTTAATATAACTATTTTTTGTAAACAATCAGTAACTATATGATTTAGATATGATTATCTTTCAGACATTATTCGCCTGCTTTAGTGTCTGTTGAGGTCTAAAACTGTTAAGAATCAAAGTTTACGGAGTAATCTACCAAGAAAATATAAACCTGAGGGCCAAAGCGATATAATCTCGTAGTTGATGGACAATAGTGCTAATATAAATAAAAAAGAGAAGTCTCAAGTACGCCGTTTCTGCCCTCTCCACTAGGGTTTGTGTTCCTTCCGTCCTTCCTCTGCCTCTATATATATATATACCATACCGCCGCTATCAGTCTGAGATCTCGATGCGCCGCGCAACAAAGGGAAAGTACTCTTCTTAACGTTCTATTTATCTCAGTTTTTTATGCATTATTATTCATTGTTATTACTTATTAGTCTCAATTCTATTCAACGTTTAAGAACTGCGCTTGGGTTGGTTGCGATGATTATAAAAAAATTCCTCGTTCTGAATGCTATTGCCATGGCATGAAAGACACGTTTACACCCATAGAATATGAGCACCTCCCATCCATTTTTCTTTCATTTTTTCCTAAAATTCCTCGTTCTGTTGATTGTTAAAAATTCAGACTTACTTTTCGATTTGTAATGGGGTTGATTCTTTTGATCCACGGAGCATTTTTTTTTTATACCTGTGGTGCTTTGTGTTTGGACAACTCCATAAAATGATTAAGGTGGTGTTTAAAGCCTTGATTCGATGGAATTAACACTTCTGTGGATTATGGTTACGCACGCCTCCATATTATACGCATATGTTTGAAAACCCCTTTTGCTTGGAATATCGTGTTTTTCAATTTCATTTACAGTTGTGACTTGTGCGATATGCGATTTTTTATTTATCTGCTCTTATTTGGTCATATTATGTCACTACTTGAAAAGAAGTGCAGAGATTACTCATATTATTAGATGGAAATCCGAAAGAACTCTTTTGAGAAATTTGACTGGTTTCTGTTACGATAATCTTTACATGAAAATGAATTTTAATAACGTGTAAATATAGGCATGTGGTCACATAATTTAGCTGATCATCAGTGCACCCAGCTATAAAATTTGTTAAAAATCACGGCTTTAACATGGGAGATTTATAGGTTTGAAGACCCAACAATGAACAGACAGCCTTTTGTCTATCTCGTTCTCTTCTCTGTGCTCTGTTTCTCCATTTATCGTCAATTAATTGTTGAAATTAAAATTTCTATGAGGCTACATGTACCAAGAGAGGGGTGTTGAGTACCCTTGATCTTGAATTGCCAAAGCGGCTGTAGCCAAATTCAATAGCTGAGAAGTTAACTGGCCGGTTGTTAGTGAGAGATAACCTCTCCCGTTGACCAATCTGCTTACCGAACTTCTCACATTTTCATTTCATGTCTTGATATTTTCTATTTTTCTTTCAACGTTTTTCTTTTAGTCAATGTTCTCGTTGAAATATGAGAAAAATGAGAAGTGGAGAAGAGGGAAATGATATTGGATTCAGCCATTTCCAGAGACCCTTCTCGTTCATCAACTTTGGCTACCTTCCAGGCAAACTGCTTTGATTCCCCAGTTGTTTGCGTCTATCGGTGCCTACAGTGTTTTTCCCCGTCTCATCTTTTATTCATCCTTGTTTTATTTAGAGACACAGAGAAAGAACATAAGAGATTCCCCATCATTCTTGTTGATTTTATGTGGACCGTAAACTGAATTAATTGACAGAACAACGTGTTCACCATGTTTTCAAGCTCAATTAACATCATTCTAAAAGTAATTTTGACTACTTTTTCTTTGATACAATTTATGGACTAAATTGACCAGTACTTTAATGACGAAGAAAATTTTAAAATTAAATAATCTAAATTTATTTATTTAGATTAATCATTTTTTTTAGTAATATACTGTCATATTTTGTGACGGAAAGATTTATAGAATTAATATCAGTAATCTTAAATTATGTAGCAAGTTTTATGATGAGTTCTAATTTAAGAACAAGTAAAATGAGGGTCTGTTTAATTTGTTGATTTGAATTTTTAATTTGAGTTAAGATATGATTTTTTGTAATAGGTTTTTACTGTAGTAAAAAAATTAGATGTGATTATTTTTTAGAGTTTTTTATTGTAGTAAAATTCGAATTTTAAACTCAAATTTGTGAAATAAACAGGGATAAATTCTTACCACAATTAAGACGAAAGAATTCTCCGTGCATATATAGTTTGAGAATCTTAATTTCAAGAATCTCTTAGTGCAGTATAATGTTAGCAGCGTATAGAGAAACACTTTGAAATTTAAAGAAAAAAAAAACCCTTAATTTTCAAGTAGATAAAAGAAAATTAAAAGGGTAGTGTATAGTAAAGAAATTTAGATGCAATATGAGTTCACAAATTGACAAAGTAGGGAACTGAAATTTCTTGTCAATTAAGTAAATTCTTAAAAGTCAGTATTAAGTAATAAGAATAGTTATACGAATATAACATTAAGGTGTAATTACTAAGTGTTTATTAAACCTTGCTTATGTAAGCAAGATGACATTAAGTAATTAGAAATTTAAGTTAAGTAAGATATCCTTACCGACTTTTAGACTGTAATAAGAAAAGATGTGCAGAATGCCCAACACATGAATCTTAAGGTTAAGAAATGAAAGTGAATTGAAAGACATTAATTCTAGGGTTTTAGAAACAATTGGAATGAAAAATAGACGGAAAAAGGGGTCTGGAAGGTCAAATTGCATAAATTAGGGTTTTGACTGTTTTAAGTGGACCAAGTTAAAATTTGTTGACAAAGAGTCAACCAAAACATTGCCCTCGAAAAGTTAGTCAAGAATGGTCAAAGTCGACTAAGTTGACCAACTGTCTGAAAAACGTAGATAAAATGCGCATTGGATAGAAAATTAAGTGGAACTAAAGTAAGATAATTATTAAATAATTAATAGTTGAGATTTAGGAGACGTTTGGTTCATGGATTAGAATTATAAGATTATAACCATTTTCGATTTACATGTATTTTTTGTGAGAAAAAACACTGTAGCGAATCATGAACTATGATTCGAATCGGGGTACGAATCTCCCAACCAAACAACCCTTTAAAATAACAAAGGGCAGCCGGCTAATTTGATGATGAAGTAATAGATATTTGTGTGAATTTTGCAAAAAAAAGTCCTTAGAAAAGTCAAATTTTGGTCCCTTGTTTTATGTTAGTGAATTTTAAACTCAAATTTATGAAATAAACAGGGATAAATTCTTACCACAATTAAGACGGAAGAATTCTCCGTGCATATATAGTTTGAGAATCTTAATTTCAAGAATCTCTTAGTGCAGTATAATGTTAGCAGCGTATAGAGAAACACTTTGAAATTTAAAGAAAAAAAAAACCCTTAATTTTCAAGTAGATAAAAGAAAATTAAAAGGGTAGTGTATAGTAAAGAAATTTAGATGCAATATGAGTTCACAAATTGACAAAGTAGGGAACTGAAATTTCTTGTCAATTAAGTAAATTCTTAAAAGTCAGTATTAAGTAATAAGAATAGTTATAAGAATATAACATTAAGGTGTAATTACTAAGTGTTTATTAAACCTTGCTTATGTAAGCAAGATGACATTAAGTAATTAGAAATTTAAGTTAAGTAAGATATCCTTACCGACTTTTAGACTGTAATAAGAAAAGATGTGCAGAATGCCCAACACATGAATCTTAAGGTTAAGAAATGAAAGTGAATTGAAAGACATTAATTCTAGGGTTTTAGAAACAATTGGAATGAAAAATAGACGGAAAAAGGGGTCTGGAAGGTCAAATTGCATAAATTAGGGTTTTGACTGTTTTAAGTGGACCAAGTTAAAATTTGTTGACAAAGAGTCAACCAAAACATTGCCCTCGAAGAGTTAGTCAAGAATGGTCAAAGTCGACTAAGTTGACCAACTGTCTGAAAAACGCAGATAAAATGCGCATTGGATAGAAAATTAAGTGGAACTAAAGTAAGATAATTATTAAATAATTAATAGTTGAGATTTAGGAGACGTTTGGTTCATGGATTAGAATTATAAGATTATAACCATTTTCGATTTACATGTATTTTTTGTGAGAAAAAACACTGTAGCGAATTATGAACTATGATTCGAATCGGGGTACGAATCTCCCAACCAAACAACCCTTTAAAATAACAAAAGATTGGATGGATGAGATTTTGACATGTGGAAAAAGGAGTGAAGGGCAGCCGGCTAATTTGATGATGAAGTAATAGATATTTGTGTGAATTTTGCAAAAAAAAAGTCCTTAGAAAAGTCAAATTTTGGTCCCTTGTTTTATGTTAGTCAGTTCTAGTGTGAACAAATGCTTATAATGGTCACTTTCATGTGGAAAGAAACCAGAGAGCTAGCCAAGAGAAATAGAGAGGAAAAAAAAAATTTCAACGTGAGAAAAGATAGATTTAGGCTAAAATTGACAGAGTAACCGAGGTATAGCGTCACCGGAGCTTGACCTTCATTCTTTAAGGTGAGATTTCAAGTTTTTCTCTTATTTTCGTCTTCCTTCGCTGCCGTGGATGCGTAGAGAAGTGTGGAAATTTTTTTTACTAGAAATGGTAATTTACTTTTAATGGTTAAAGAACTTGGAATGTAGTGAACTAAGGTTTGATTTTTGGTTATTGAACTTTGGTTCTAGCAATATTTTATATAGAGAATTTTGTTAGAAATGTTGAGAAACTGTAGAACCATGTGATGAATGATGGTGTATTTGAAAGAGAGGATATGGTTTGTGTTTTAAGGTGAAAAACAATCGATAAAAAGTGAGCTAAAGTTGGCTCGGGAAATATCAAAAAATAAGGTGGAATTTTGCCAAAATTTAGTTTGAGAATTTGAGGTTAAACTTAGTTTTAGTTTTAGAATGAGGATAAACTTGATTTTAGTTCTAAATAGAAGCTTTAAACTATTTTCTTAGAAGAAAAAAAAAACAATACATAACTGTTAAAACAGTTTTGGTGTTAAACAGAAGAGTTCGTTGAAGAACTCGAAGTATAATCTCAGGAAAGTATATTAATTTCAGACTTTGCTAATAAAAGGTAAGGTAATCAAGATTTAATAAACCTAATCTTTAAATTAAAAATAAGGTTTTACAATCCGTACGATAAGAAAAGAGAAAACGAGCCATAAATAGAGAAGTTAGATTTTCTTTCAAGCTTGCTAAAATAGAATAGCAAGTGATAGTTAATCTCACACTCTTAATGGGTGTTCATTCTCAGAAACAAGAAAGAAAGAGAATAGACTCTTTGGCGAATAGAGGATTCCACTTCTTAAAACAGGTAAGTAAGAATCTCGCCTACCAGTATAAATGATTTTAAAATAAACAGTACATATAAATTATATGTGTTTGAATATTAATGTTATGTATGCTATGCTATGTTATATTGTATACATTTAAGGAGTGCACATGAATTATATGTGTTTGAGTACATTTAATGTTATATTGTGTTATGCTATGGCGTACTGCTACGTCTTAATAAGTCAAGAGGAACTTATAAGAATAATCTCAGTTGAGTGTCGTCTTGAGTACATTTAATGTTATATTGTGTTATGCTATGGCGTACTGCTACGTCTTAATAAGTTAAGAGGAACTTATAAGAATAATCTCAGTTGAGTGTCGTACAAGTCTCTGAGAGGGAGGTAACTCAAGCTTCGCAAGGAGAAGAAAAAAAAGATAATAAAGTCCTCTGAGAGGGAGGCATTCAGTTCAGTTTATAATCACGGTGTCGTTGGGGACCTTGCAAACCCTCACGTCCCGATGATTGCGCGTAAGTGGTACGAGTACTCGAGCCCATCAGTAAATAAGATAAGTTCAAATAGTAAAACGCAGACAATAAAACTTTGATAAGACATCAGAAATCAACATAAGCAGTTCATGCATATCTTTCATGTGAATTTTCAGTTATTTTGCGAGTAATAGTTTCTACTTGCTGAGCGAAAGCTCATTTCAGAGTATTTATACTATAGGTAAGCAACCTATACATAATATTTGATGGACTGATGGCGAGGCAACGGACGAGCGGAGTGGAGGTTGGGGAATGGATGCTGCACACAGTTATTTCCGTAACAGTTTAAGATTTTAAAAAGATTTTGTTGAATATGTCTATGAACTTGTGTTTTGAAAGTTTCCAGCATGATTGTTAAGTTTGTATAAGCTAGCAAGATTTTGAGAAGCAAAAATATAACAGTGTAAATTCATGCTTTAGAAAAGGAATTGTTTCTGAAGTATAGACACTTTACTATGTTCAAAAGTGGAAATCAGAATTTATGTCATTACAATAAGTTTAAAAAAAATGATGATATAGTTCTTTAAGAGAAAGAAACTTATGCTCAGAATGCTACAGCATTCTATACATCATTTTAAAGAAAATATTACAACATTCTATTTCATACAACATTGTAAAAAAATGTTGCAACATTATGTAGCATTTTTTTTTTAAAAAATCTCTTAAATTTTGGGAGTTTCAGAAATTATATGTTAAAATTAATTACAGTGACGGTCAACTCAATTAGGTCGTCACAAGTACAATAAGTGGTCTGTCATGAAAAAATACTGCCTAAATTTGTTGTGCATTTGGAGCTCATCCGACATTTTAGATTCTGAAAACTCGGTCTCAGAGATCTTGTAGTCGAACTTAACAAATCGACAGTTATAAACCATTAAAAACGATTGGCATTCTGAAAGAAATTGAAACTCAGGAGTTGCAGAACGTTTGTAGGGTGCAAATAGCAATTCTCTAAAATCTATATACGCTGTGAATAGGGATTTGAATTCCTAGGGCAACAGTTTGGTGAGAACTGTTCAATCTTTTCTTCTTTTTTTTGTTCTGTTTTTTTTTTTTTTTTTTTTTTTTTTTTTTTTTTTTTTTTTTGGCTTCTTTCTTGTCCCTTTTCTTTTTTTTTTTTTTTTTTTTTTTTTTTTTTTTTTTTTTTTTTTTTTTTTTTTTTTTTTTGGGCCTTGCTCTGTCACATTTCTTCTTTTTTTTAAGATAAAAGGGGTACTTTTAATAAGTACCCATTTTAAAAAATTCTTATTTTTGACTAATTGTAGTTTAAAAGGCAGAAACATATTAGTTAATGTTAAGGGGTAAAAATAGAAATAATTTCATTTTAAGGGGGTATTTTTAAAAATTGTTCTTTTTATAACAAATGGTTTGTTTGGTTCAACAATTTAAACTGTAGAAATTTAAACTTCTTTTTGTTAAACTGTGGTAAATGGTAGTTTAAACTGTGATCTAAACAGCAGTTTAGATATGTAAATAAATTAGAAATAAAATTTGAACTATGTTTAGACTGTTGAAAACTGTCATTAAAATTTTATAACAAATCTTATAAAACTTTATTATAAATGACATTAAAAAATATGTAATATGAATGTGGATTTGTTCTTCTATTCATTATGAACATATTAAAAAAATCATCTCAATTAAAATTAAAAAGAAAAAATTATGATATTTTTAAGATTGTAATTGAATATAAAGAAAAATTAGAATATGAAATTATAGACTATTAATAACAAATTAAATTGTTAAAATTTAAGAGATGTGAATTTTAAAATCAACAATTTGAGTTCTTAAACCATTGTTAATGGTTTGAATTTTAAACCACAATTCTGAGTTGTTAAAACAAAAAAAGCAAAGTAGAATCGAAGTGGAAAAATCGGGGATATTTGATGCAGAACTACGATCGCAACAACAGATCGCTCAAAGGTTGACGAAGGTCTTTCATTTCGTTGCACGTTGACTTTACTTCCACAAAGTAGTACAAACAACACCAATTCTCAACGTTAAAAAAGCAAAAAGCTGAAAAAGTAGCCATCAGTAAACAAATCGTGTCTTGCCAAACACGAGCACGAGAGAAAAAAAGAAAAAGATCAAAACATCACAATGCACAAAAGAGAAAAAGCAACCCACGAATCTTATCCAAATATCCAATTTGTGGGTTGAAGAAGAAACACATCACCCAAATTCAACTAAAAGAAAACAACTGAAACGAAAAATTTAACAGTACATAATAGTAGACACCTAAATTGGCTTTTCGCAATTGGTGATCACAAGGTCGACAAGGAAGAGGAGTTCAAGTGAACAGAGCCAAGAAGGTCATTGCAAAGGCTAGCCCCTTCAAGTGCCTTGTTATTCTCCGCTCGGGGGCTACTTCCTGCACTGCTATTCGAAAGCGATCCAAATGCAGTCTTCTGCAGAACCCCGGTTGGAGACGATCCCATTGGAGGACCAGTGTCCCAGCCCTCCGTCATGAGGTTTAGCACCGACGACGTCGAGGAGGAAGACCTTTTGCAATCAGCAGAATTAGCATTGTTGTTGTTGGTGTGGTGAAGAACCTCGCCCAGTGGACCCCCCAAGGAAGTCTCCCAACTTATGGGAATCCAATTCGCTTGCCTGTGATGATGCTGATGATGATTGGTACTAGGTGTGCCCTGCTCGCGGGACAGCCTTAGCGGCGAGAGATTGGTCTCGCTGTTGAATTCAGAGGAAGCCTGGGCCATGTCGGGGATGGAGATTGAGAGCTGAGTTCGGTCCCGTTGTGCGTCCATGAGCTGCCCAAGAGAATGTTGCGTTTCTTGTGTCTTCTGTGAAGTGGGGTTGAGGAAGGAGTCCGATGTCACGAGGCCAAACTCTGTTCTCGATGCCTCATCATACGGAATGTGATGCTTTCGAGTCATGAACAATGAGCTCTCTTTCGACAGAAAGGAGAGGCCTCCTGGCGTGCTTTGAATTCTCTCGCCCGCAGTGTCCTTCACAAACATCCTGCAAAAAGAGACGTAAGAAAATTCAATGCCAATTGCAATGGAATAACTAAAGGTTCCTTTTCTAAGATTGATAAACATCGGTAGTACAAAGATGATAAAACAGATTCTATGATTCTCTAACGGCACAGAGTTAAAAGAATTTAAAAAGAAATTGATGCTGTAAAGAAACGAAAGAGCAAAATTTTTAAAGAGAAATCATAGCTCTAGTACCATGACCGCAAAAGCAAAGGTTTCTTTTTGGGAAACGTAAAGGTACATAAGAAGTTTAAGCTATTTGAGATTGGTCAACAGATATGATAAAAGAAAGGAAGTCCAGATTTAGATAACTAATGTAATGAATGAAGACTCAAAAAAGAATTGATGCTGTAAAGATAAGGAAACTGGGGACCATGAAGTTGAAACTTTTGATCACCTGTTATTGTGGGATGTGGCTGCAGAAGAATTAGATGCACCAATATCCAAGCTCTGCATATGTTGACGATTAATGGGGATGGCGCGGCTGTTGGATGCACCGCCGCAAGGCATCGTCACCACCGATGAGGATGAGGTGGCAGTGGCGGCGGCGGCAGTGGTGGTGGTGCTGACAGCGGCTCCGGCTAGAGAATGGCCGGTTTGGCCTTCCACAGGCTTTCTTGAACGATGGCGGCCTCTGTTTATGTGCCGCTCGCAGTACTTCTGGTCTGAGACAGCGTCTCTCGAGCACCGCCATTTCTTGCCGTCCGTCCGTCGACACCTTCCCGGCTCCGGATCAGCGTTGTTTGAGAATCCCAGGTGGAAAGAACCCCATCCCACTGCACACAAACACCCCAAGTACCAAGTCTTATTAAATCTTCACGCAAAGAAAAAGCAACTTTTTGTTAAATAGCAAGCTGTGACCTAAAACGATTACTGAATTGAAACAAACTTACATGTGTTGGGTCTGAGAAGGCTAGGGGAGGAGGAAAAGCCAGCGGACTCAAAGGCCTTTCTGATGGGAATAAGGAGATTAGATGGAATGGGTACATTGGCGGTGATGTATTTGTAGATCAAGGCCTGTTGTTCTAGCTCCATCCACTGTGATGGAGTGAATAGACCTTTCTCCCCATGCGTGTTTCCACCATTAACCAAGCTCCCGGAGTTAAATCCTTAAAACAAAAAATGGAAAAAAGAAACCAATTTTTAAGTACAGGAGACAAGATATTTCAAGAAAAGAGCCAGTGGGGAAAGTTGTATCTGAAACAATCATGGTGCTTCTTGAGTTTGATAAAACACCGCCGATGAAGGAAAAGTAGAAAAGGAACTAGGTGTAGAATCAATCAAAATATAGGTCTCTGTTTTTTTTCCTTTTGCTGGGAATATTGATTGTTTGTTCAGGAACATGAAAAATCCATTTCCTAAAACCAGGGAGGACGACGGATTAAGGAAATAACTCTCTTTTTCTCTGTTTTTTGTTGACAAGACTCTAGGCAAAAAAAAAAAATACACATCCATAGATTTTTCATGAAAAGACCTCCATTATAACTGGGGAATCAAAACCAAAACATAACAACCCAATTAGACCCCACCCTTTCAGTTAGAAGACTAGAAGCTAGCACAGCAGGTCAAATCTTTCCGACAAAACAAGAAAGCATTTTACCAAAAAAAAAAAAAAAACAAAAAAAAAAAAAAAAAAAAGAAAGAAAACCCTCCTCAAAAAATTACCAAGATGGCTTCATGCCAGCAAAGCAAAGCACACACATTAGCCACTATTCTTAAGCGCAATGATAACACACCATACAAAATATCTCTCATTTCTTCCTCCAAAAAGTTTTTTTTTTTTTTTTTTGGTAAGAAAGAAAGAAAAAGAAAACATACGTTAAACTATTTCTATTTTCCTTTTCTTTTTCATATATACCTGTAATATTTCTACCGTTGTAAGCAGATAAAGCGTTGGGAATGTAAGCCAATGTAGCGTTGTGAGAGCTCCTGTCGGCCAAAAATGGCTCTGATTTGGGAGTAGAGAAGCTCAGCATTTGGGTTTGTGGCTGGCCATTATCCAAAAAGCCGAGACCGGAATTAGATCTCAGCAAACTAGAGTTTTTCTGCGAAACCATTGCTTTAGAGGCTAAGAAATCGGTATCATCACCACCACCACTCTTGGCCAGCTTTGAGCTTCTCCAGTAATCATCCTCAGCAGTGCCTTCAGATCTCTCTTGCTTGTTAGAAAACCCAGATCCGTACAAAGTTTTCTGCTTCGTCTCAGGATCAGAAATGTGGGGAGAAAAACCAGCTTCATGATCCAAACCCACCACTCTAAAATCCATAACTTAAAGAAAGAAAACACCAAGGTGAAAAAAGAAGAAAAAAAAAACTTAAGAATATAAAACCGCTATTTCGGCTTATTATTCTTTTTATGAACAAAAAAGGGAATGAAAGAGAGAAGAACGGCTTGAGAAGATGGAGAGAGAAGCATTTTTTAAGGCGTTGAGTGTGAGCGTAATAGGTGAGACTGATCAGATTAAGCTTAAAGCTGAAACTGAAAACCAGACTGGTTTTTAGTTTAGGAGTTTGATTTTTTTTTTTTTAAAGAAAAGGATAAAATAATTGGAGAGAGAAAGAGGGAAA